TAATTAATTAATAAATAGTTAATTGTTCATTGATAATTAATAAGTAATAATTAAGCAGCTAATAATTAATGGGTTTAGGTTAGGGTTTACGGTTTAAGGATAAGGTTTAGGAAATTACGGTTTAAGGTTTAAAGGTTAGAATTTAAGGTTTCGATTTTAAGTTTTAAGGTTATCGCTACTGGCCAGCGAATTAATTGTTAAGTATTTGTCAATGAATTAATTGAATTAATTATTAATTAACAATTAATTACTTCATGATTAATGAATGATGAATGAATTAATTAATTATTAATAACTAATTCATAATTACTAATTAATCAACAAATTAATAAGTAATAAGTATATAAATTAACAAGAAATTAATAATCAAATTATAGTAAACCATAAAAAAACTATTAATCAATAATGAATTAATAATTCATTATTATTTCATTAAGACTTATATGCTGTTGCAAATCATGCTTAGGCTCCTCTGCCACCCCTAGGGGTTGCAGCAGGGCTATAGAGATGCCGAAAACTGGAAAACCAAACACAGCCAAAACCAACAAAAAACCAAAAACTGAAAAACCAAAAAAACCAAAACCAAAAAAACCAAAACCAAAAAAACTAAAAAAACCAAAAAAACCAATTTTGAGGAACTTTTCGATGTAAGGGCTGATAATAAGCCACTTCCAGGAGTTGCCCAAAATTGGTGTTTTTGGTTTTGGTTTTTTTGGTTTTCCAGTTTTTGGTTTTTTTTGTTGTGTGGGTATAATGAGTTCGCTGCGAGAAAGCACCAAAAACGCAGCGGGCTCATTTTACCCCCAAACCGCCACAAGCTAGGGTCTAGGGTAGCAGTTCAGGGTTTAGGGTTTCGGGTTTCGGGTTCTTGGCTTAGGGATCTGAGGAGGGGTTTCGGGCCTAGGCTTGGGGTATTTCATGGGTACTTTTAAGAAGTTGAATTTGAGACCAGAACCCTACAACCCCACAACCCCACAATCGTACAACCCTAGAACCCTAGAACCCTAGAACCCTAGAACCCTAGAACACTAGAACCCTAGAACCCTAGAACCCTACAACCCTACAACCCTACAACCCTAAACCCAACTCTAAACCCTATAACCTAGGCCCTAAACCCTCACCTCTAGACCCCAAACCCTAAACCCTAAACCCTAACCCTTAGCAACAAAGTGCTCAAGATGTTCCTTGCGATGCCGGGCTGCCATTTAGGCGGCTGTGGGAAGACCATCCCAAACTAAACCCTACCGTACCCCCTCAACCCTAAACTTTGTCATAGCGGGGTATCATTTTACATTTTCAAGGATACTTAAACTCAATTAGGAATAGAAATTTAACTTTTCAATCCTATCCCAACCATGAACTAGTAAACCCCCCTAGCCCTGAACCCCTAAACCCTTAAACCCCCAAATGCCTTGAACCCTTTAACCCTTTTTTAACTCTTTAGCCCTTTAGCCCTTTAACCCTTTTAGCCCTTTTGATCCTTCAACCCTTCAACCCTTCAACCCTTCAACCCTTCAACCCTAAACCCTAAACCCTCAGCCCTAAACCCTAAACCCTA